ATATATATATATATATACACACACACACACACACACACACACACACACACACACATATAGTTAAAGTGCTTTTTTTTTTCTTTTGGTTTTTCCCAAATGCTGACACACACCACTGATTGGATTAAAATGAACAGATAATAATCTTTCGAACAAACATGAAAACACATAACATCAATGATGTGCATATAACCAGGTGGTAATTATTCTTTAATCACATGGAAAAAAGTTTTCTACTTTTTTTTTCTTTTATTAACAACATGAAATTAAGGCAATTTTTTATCAATTATACTATTAATGACTTTTATATTATTTATATTATTAAAGTTTTTTTTAACAACTGTCAAGCATCTGATAAGCATTAAGTAGCATGTTCTTAAGAACTCATTTAGAAAATAATTAAACGTATCTCTTAGCCTTGACTTTACACAGTAACAAATTAAGCACACTGTTGGCATTTACTCCAGAGACAGCAGCATTATGCTGCAGAGAATGCCAACCACATAATTGCATATGCAGTCACAGCTTGTTGTTTTCCCTGAGGCTTGATTAAACGTGCAGATTACCAAGCTATTCACACTTGACCCATGGAAACGGCTCACCATTCATTAAAGCAAAACCATCCTGATCTCTACAGTCATCATGTGTGAAAGTGCCACGCTGATGACAGCTTCATCAAATTTTCTTGTAGTCATAAATGGGTTTTTCATCATTATTTTTACTCTCTCTGACTCTTAAGGCATGCACATTCACAGTTGTGTTGTTCAGTGAATTTTCGCAGGCAAAATTTTGTCATTTCAACGGCAAATGGGATTTATGGGTGAGGATGAAATATTTCCATATGCAGATTTTGGTTGCACAATTTTATTATTGTTCTATTTGTATTCCTCATGCTTTTATATATAGCTCTATACAGTCGCCTACCACAAAGACGGTCAAGAACTATCTGAGGATTTCTCTGAAGATGCTCATTGGGAGGACGTGTATGTGCCTCAGTTGTACAGTTTTAATGGTTCGTCAAAAAGCTCATGGAAATCACAGCGACAGTCACTGCAGCACGATTCCAGACACGCTCCTGTGTCCCTGCATGCCTTTAACACTTGAATTGCACATGTGGACAGAGATTGATGGCTAGTCTTAAGAGCACAGAGAGCTGTGTGAGTCATGGCGACATGTCAAACTGATTACTGACTCATGGCTGACTTCCTGCTCTCATGCCAGGAGGCCATCCAATAATCACGAGCGAGCACCACACGAGTGTGAAGTCATCACACCACTGCCACTATCAGCACTGCTGGTTGACAATTAACTGTCATATATTGTCACAGAGAGTATGTGCATTTAACAGATCCAACAGACTTTTTTTATCCAAAGGTCTTTAGTGCTGTCAAAATTGAAGTTTTAACTTTTTAAGTTCAACTTTTAATTTTTAATGCAGATAATAAAAAAAAAAAAGCCAAAAATCAGACGATATATTTGTCGACCACTAGCATTATACCTTGTCTACATCAAGTGTGACTGTTGTCAGTTTGAGGCCATCTACGCTGAACATGCCATCTATTTGACTTTGTTGCATTGTTCCCATCGTCTCTGGTGTAGACACAATTTATATTTATAGTACAAGCTATATTTCGGTAGCATTATAATAGAACCTCAAGCAACATATTAACATTAGTGATCATGAAAGTTATTTGGCAATTTTAAATTATCTGCATTGGCTGACAAGATTTTCTGTTTGGCTTTTATTTTGACAGCGTTGAGAACACCTAACAGTCTCCATTAGTTTAAGATCCTTGTTTAACACTTCTAATGGTGTGTGCACACCATTTGCGCGAGTAGATTACATAAAGTCAATGCAAAGACGTGAATAGACACGAATGATGTGAATTGGGTGACGCGAATATTAATGATATTCGCCTTAATTGCATCTTCCGCGCAGGTTGAAAAATTAAAACTCTAGCGGGAAATTTGTGCAAGCCAATCAGCAAAGAGCTTATTTACCTGTCCGGTTGTTTCAGAAAATGGAGGACAGCATGCACAATGTTTATATTTGTGTAAGTGACGAGAAAAACATCCCGCAAGTAATCTAGAGTGAGTAACATGATGAGAGTAATGCAATACTAATATTTCCATTGTGCTGTGTCTTGTTTCCATTGTGTTGCAGTTTGTTCTGTTGTGTTGTGCTAAATTTATTGTATTGCGACTCGTTTCCATTGTGTTGTGCCAATTTCATTGTATTGCTACTTGTTTCCGTTGTGTTGTGCCAATTTCGTTGTATTGCTACTTGTTTCCATTGTGTTGTGCCAATTTCGTTGTGTTGTGACTTGTTTCCGTTGTGTTGTGCCAATTTCATTGTATTGCTACTTGTTTCCGTTGTGTTGTGCCAATTTCGTTGTGTTGTGACTTGTTTCCGTTGTGTTGTGCCAATTTCGTTGTATTGCTACTTGTTTCCGTTGTGTTGTGCCAATTTCATTGTATTGCTACTTGTTTCCGTTGTGTTGTGCCAATTTCATTGTATTGCTACTTGTTTCCGTTGTGTTGTGCCAATTTCGTTGTGTTGTGACTTGTTTCCGTTGTGTTGTGCCAATTTCGTTGTATTGTGACTTGTTTCCGTTGTGTTGTGCCAATTTCGTTGTATTGCGACTTGTTTCCGTTGTGTTGTGCCAATTTCGTTGTGTTACGGCTTGTTTCTGTTGTGTTGCGCACATTTCGTTGTTGCAGCTTGTTTCCATTGTGTTGTAGAAATTTGGTTGTGTTCTGCACTACTGGGCCAACGTAGCTTTCCTATTATTTTCATACTTGCTGAAGGTAATGACAGAAAAGTAATTTGACCAATAGTGTGCAAGTGTTGCACATAATTGACCAATTAGGTATGGCCACATTCACTCAGGCACTATGATGTATTTGTGTTGTATTCTTTATATTATTCATGTTATATTAATTTAATGTATATTTTAAATATTGTTTATTTGTGAGAAATACTATAATATGATCACAGAATTAAGAAGTTGCCATCTAAAGCAGTGTTTCCCAACCTTTTTTCTGCCGCGGCACAGATTTGCTAAGTAAAAAATCCCAAGGCAAACTACTCGGCACAAAAAAAAAAAGAAAAAGATAGAAATGGGGAAAGTCCCCCCCCCTTCCCCCAATAATTAACAATGCGTTGTCAGAGATGGTATTTTGGCTTTATATATGATCAGACACTTGCACTTAACATTTTCTGAAAATCCTTCTCAAATGGAGTTAACGAGGTGTTTGACGAGTGAAGATCTGTGTTTTGTCTGTCATGGCCGGATCTGAGGCATTACGTCTTCATCAATTTACAGGTTATAAAGTTTATTGTAGGTATATGGGAGCTCAGTTTTGCTTGTTGTTTAATACATTTGGCCACGATATAAAAGATGAACCGCTATGCACAAGATATTTAAAACGTACACAAGTATATTGGCTACAACTAGACGCAAAGGCTAAGGTTCTTCTCCACTCTTCAAACACACAAAAACATTAGCCTTATAGACTGTTTCTTGAGTAAAAAAAGCTGTACTTATTCAAACAACAGCATCCTTGTGTGTGTGTGTGTGTGTTGACTCACTTGTCCTCCACCCCAGTCGCTCCCAGCAGCTCCAGGTCTTTCTCAATGAAGTTGAAGACCTCGACCAGTCGTTCCTCTCTCTGCTGCAGAGCCGTTCTGGCTTCATGGAGCCGCCGGTCCACTTCCTGATACTCATCTGCACTGAAGTGTCTGCAGGCCACCACTAACGTCCGCAAACCCTTCTACAAAAGTGAGATGGGACAAACACATGAGGAAGAAAGTTAAACTAGTCCATTTTACTGATTCGTGCACAAATGAAGGATCAATAATACACAAAATAATGTAATACAAAAGCTGATATAAAGTAGAACTGATGGTGAACTGCTGGCCAAGAAGCTGCTTGAAAGCCCCAGTCCCGAGCTCCACATCCATAATTGAGTTAATGCTCTTAAGCGCAGACATAGAGAGCATTCAGCGTATGGAGGAGCATTTCAATGTGGCTGTTGTGTCTGAAACATCCCATGAGTCTCAATACAATCCTCTGAGGACTGCCAGGAGCCTGTGTGTGTGTGTGTGTGTGTGTGTGTGTGTGTGTGAGCGCGATGTGAGTCTGAAGACACTCTCATGGGTTTCAGCACAGCTGATAATGAGGACAGCTAACGGAGCTAATTAACTGCAGTGCTCCCATCGACATCATTTGAATTAGAAAAGCTGAACTTGGACCAGACCTCGACATTTCAACTAGACTTTTAGATGTCTGAAGAAAAAGTTTAGTGGCTACTCTCTCGTCCATTCTTGTGAGAAGTTGCTAGGGCATTTTGAGGTGATTTGTCTAGGCAGTTGTTTCCTGTACAAATCAGTCTCTATGATATTCTGGGGCTGAATTCATGAAATATTCTTTGTAAAAAATTTTAAAGTTAAGAATATTTTGTGTCATCTAAAACATTTAGGAATGCTATTTTTGTTTTCTTAAGATTGTTCTAAAGAATTTAAATTTCCAAAAAGAATCTTATTAAAAATCACTGTAATTAAACCCATTTGCAAAATTTAGGCAAAATTGTGTGGACAAAAATGGCCCATTTTCTGTTGTCAATAATGTGGTTATGTATGAATCATAGCTCACACTCAAGTCATTTTCACAACCAAACAGCTTTCTGTTGGTCAATGTGAACGATTGAGACGAATTCTTAATCACATGAATTCCAACTGAAATTTGCCTACAAAATTTAGCTGAGTAACAGCATTTGACCGAACCATAATGGGATAGCTACTAACTAGGGATGGGCGATATCTTATCATTTGCGATATACCGGTAAAGATTCTCCCCACAATAAGAATTAGTCTTCCCGCGATAATAACGATAAAGTCTAGTTCTTGACATATTTCTGTGTGCGACAGTGTTGAGTGACATCGCGGAAGGCGGACGTGAAATTGAAGAGGAGTAGCCTATATCGCTAAATGAGAAGCTTGAACTCCTTTTACAATCTGTAACTGGTTTGGTTAGGGCTTGCGATACAGTTTTGCATGTGTATGAGCCTGTTTACAAACCTGTTGTCCAACAAATATATAATTTATTGACATGCTTTTTCTCCAAATTAACTTAACATAGTCGAGTGTTTGAAATACTTCTTTTTGTGACCAGACGTGGTTTCATATTACAGAATGATAGTATTATATACAGTGATAAAGGCCATGTCGATTAACATTGCATTATAAATATACTTTCCTTATAAAAATACCCAAGTTTGAAGAACACAGATAAACCATATATTTTGTGCAATCGTATGTTTATTTTCCTCAAGTTTCATCAGATAAAATGTCTCTATCTCCGTTATGCGTTTTATTCAGCGATAACTGGATACCGTCCGGGAGCATCGTCAGTAGTATTACTTCTGCTATGGATATGTGGAGTTTCTGTGCAAGATCGCCCTCCGGCTTCCAGTATGAATTAAACAGTCTTTACATTACGCGTGTACTCGTTAATGCTCACAGCACCCTATTTTGGGTAAAAATAGGAAAGATAATACTTTTCTCTAAAGAAACAGGATTCCCTGAATTATCGTCACTGATATCATTATCGCAATAAATACCAGAAATATCGTGATATATTTTAAAGCCCATATCGCCCATCCCTACTACTAACTTTACTGAATTTTACTGAATTTATTGGGTACAAATTAAGACAAATATTAACAACAGTACATTACAACAGTAATGAGATGTTGTCAGGCCATACGTCAGTAAAAATGAATCTTCCTGTCCTGTCAGCCATTATACTGTGCTCGTAGCACATGCTCTTCAATTGCACACACAGATATGGCAGCACGCTGTAGCATGTATTATTTCATATTAAAGCGTGAATGAAATTACAAGCGTGTGTGTCAGATCCGCATCACATTCAGCAGCGGCAGCTCTTAAAGTAATAGCAGCCAAATAACCTTATAAACCAGCTGCTGTGCTGTCTGTTCATCAAAGAAAAGGAAAAAAAAAAAAGGAAATCAATAACTTTTGTACCTTTAAGGATTCATCTAGATTTCATTTAAAATTTAGTGTTTGAAAACTTTATTCATTTTCTGTATATTTTCTACTTGCTGAAGGACACAGGTAGCTAAATATGACATTATAATGGACAACTATGCTCTTAAGAATGAATTAGAATTTTTTTCAAGAATTTCACATTTTTACAGACCTCTTACAACTTATCTTAAGAAAATTGTTTCTTAACAAGATTTTCATAAATCCGGCCCCTGGTCTTGAGGTACAGTATAACTCAATCCCACCTTCAAATGTAAGTCTATGTGATTTTTTTTATTTTTTAAACCACTTAATTGTCCAGTGAAAATTGCCAAAATGTAGCTTTGAGAAAAATAACACCACACTTCTCCACACGCCGCAAAATCCGGTGTGGACGAGTTGTACACTGAATACTTTGGGATCAGTATATGGTCCATTTTACTACTTATGAGCAACAGTGAAACTTCAAGCACCACTAACTAGAGTGAACTAGTATGCAAGCATGGCAGCATGATGTAGAGAGCTCACCAGAGCAAACTCATCCACGTGGACTCTGGTTTTATCGATCTCGCCACTCGTGGTGTAGGGCAGAATGGCTGATTCGGCTCCTTTCGTGAATAGCACCTTTTCACCTAATGAGAGACACAATGTCATTAGATAACTCCTCGCTCGCTGCGGTTCAGTCATAACCAGCACATGTGCGATCAGAGGCACGTGCCTGAGGGCTTCTGCAGAATCACACTCATTCTTCTGCGGTTTGCGTCAAACTCCAGAACGTGGAGGAGTTTGTATCTGCGGGCGGAAAGATAGCTGTTAAACAGACAACTCTAAAAGCTAAACAACTTTATGAGTATGGTTCACATTAAGTCATCTAAAATAAACAGAAAAGTGTGATGTACTTCTCTGCTTTTCCAAATGTTTTAATCTCCATGTTTTCTCCATGGCTTCCTATAAATGTGACACCCATCCTGCAGTCAAAAACATAATTTAAAGATATGGTTCACAGAAAAAGTTAGTTTTTTCCCCCCACAGATGTAGTCAAATGTTTCAACAGTCATGGTCAAAAGATTATATTTAGCACAACTGACTGCAGAAATACACAGTAGCAGGTGACAGAGAAACTGAGCTGCAGCTGTGCTCTCACCTCTTGGTGGCTTCCACTAGTGCTTTCTCGTCAGGAGAAGAGGCGTAATACTCCATCTGAGGAGAGAAGCCATTGGCATGTGAGAACGGGTCTCCCGGCCCATCCGTTTGATCATAACTGATCTGCACCGTGTGACACAGTGAGACGGCTTTCAGGAACAACTCCTCCTCCCTGTTCTGAAAGGTGTACACACAAAATAATACTGTCACACTTTGATTTAAAACATGACCAGTTGAAGAATGTCACCACTGTAATGTTTATCACGTATCACAAAAACAGGTCCCATTTCATTTAAAACTTAAAATATAAGGTAAAAATATTGCAATTTAATAATTAATGTCATCAGAATTTAGCACAAACTAGTGTTATTTTAGTATCATAGAGATAAAATTCTAGCTGTTTTAACATTTCAAAGTTTGTAGCTTTTAGTTATTTTTATTCATTTTATTGTGTTTTTGTCATTTTTAGTATGACATTTTTATATGTTTTAGTTATTTTCGTACAATTAAAGTAAAATTAAAAATGAGAAATGCCTTGGCAACTGGCTGAAGTAGTTATTTTTATTTATTTTTTGTTTAATATTCATTAAAAGTCCAAGTTCAGAGTGTCAAAATTGCACCTATAGACGATGCTAAATCTTTAAAAATCTTTTTTAATTATGGCATAACCATATGATCAATAAAGTTGAACAATGGTATGTATCCTCTTTGGTGGATGTCCTAACATGTGCTCTAAAATGACTTGGCTACATAAAAACAAAATAACACTGCCACCATCTTCCAGTCCACATTCTGTGGCTAATAACAACATGGCCTAATGTTACAAAATTTGACATATTTGCACATTGTGTGAAAATTAGTAAGTTCCAAATTTTGTGAAAATCGCTGGTTCGATAAGTTTTTGCCAAAAACTTCAGTCTCTCCAAATAAGCTAATCATATCTGCATCATATTTTCCATAAATAAAAAGAAAAAATTATCACTGAGTTTTGTTCTTTTGTCAAACGTTTTCGTCCTAGGCCATTGGTCCGATTTGCATGAAATTTGGTGGATATCAACTAGAAATGCTTCTGACAAAAACTATTGAAAGAATTTGAATTAATTTAACCCTTTAAGCCCCGAGGGCATTTTTGCCTCACTGAAGTTACCAAATAACCAGGAGAGTCAAATGAGAGGGGAGGGGGTTATTTTATATGGACATTCTCCTGCTGAGAAATAGCTGATAAAATGTAAGAAAAATTTGAGTGTCCAAGAGAAATTTTTCATGTGTCTTTTTTTTTTTTTTACTTTTTTTTTATGAACTTCAACACAATAACAATCAAACAATACTCCTTAATGGGTACATACATAAATATTTTCCCCGTCTGTTACACCAAATACACTAAATAATGATCTTTAAAAAAAGCATCATATGACCCCTTTAAGTTCAGCCATTCTTCAGCTGGGATACAAATCTGCATTTCCTTTTCCCACTTTTCTTTAATATACTCAGTAGAATGGCCTTTAATATCTTGAATGCAGTTTTATAAACCAGATATTAATCGTTTTTCACAAGTATTTGTATTATACGTAGATATTTATTCCTATTATTAACTGAATCAGGTATTTTGCCAAGAAATAGAATATAAGCTGTTTTTTCAATCTCAATTTCCAAGATTTCCTCTATGCTAGAACGTATTTCTGACCAATACTGATTTAAAACTAGATCAAGACCAGAAGACATGTACATGATCAGCCGATAATGACCTGCCTCCAGCAGAAGCCCTGATTTGTCATTCCTTTTTGTTTTGCTTTCATTTTGGGTGTAATAAAGAAACAAATTGTATTTTTCCAATAAAATTCCCTTTCTTTAATATACTCAGTAGAATGGCCTTTAATATCTTGAATGCAGTTTTATAAACCAGATATTAATCGTTTTTCACAAGTATTTGTATTATACCATATCTGTCTTATTTGACATTCAATATCTCAGGACAGAAATAAGGTAGGAGTAAAATTCCCATGATGTTCCCCAGCATGTTAGCTGTATTTGTTTCAAATTTTGTGGTGATAGCATAAAGTATCCAAAAGTTACAGTATTTTGTAACAAAATAGGCCTTTTTGTTTAGCTCTTGGCATCTGAAGGCATTTTAAAAACTGTTGTTTTCTGAGTGTCATGCACAAATATAATGACTCATAACTCCAAGACTGTAGTAAGGAGAGTCAAAAGGGTAGGAGGGGGGGGGGGGGGCTTTGCATTTGAATATTCATGTTGAGAAATAGGTGATAAAATGTAAGAAAAATTAGTGTGGTCAAGGGAAATTTTTCATATCATTATTATTTTTTAGTGATGTTTCCCAACATGTGTGCTGTATGTGAATAAAATTGTGTGGTGATATCATGAAGTAATCAAAAGTTAAAGCATTTGGAACCAAGGTAGCCCTTTCTCTTAGCCCTTTACAGTTTTGAAATTGTTGTTTTGCCTCAGTCAAGTTTAATCAAAGCCCCAAACATTTATACTTGTTTTATTCTACCCGATGAGACCTTTCAAATGACATATGACACATGACTATCTGAGCTGTATGATGTTTCTGACATATTAAGAGTGCATGGCACAAAAAACATTTTTCATAATTTATGAAAAATGTTTTTTGTGCATGGCACAAAAAACATTTTTCATAAATTATGAAAAAAATTTTTTATATTCATCCGCAAATGACTCAGCACTACTTAGGAGCGATGAGACCTTTCAAATGACATATGACACATGACTATCTGAGCTGTATGATGTTTCTGACATATTAAGAGTGCATGGCACAAAAAACATTTTTCATAAATTATGAAAAAATTTTTTTATATTCATCCGCAAATGACTCAGCACTACTTAGGAGTTAATCAAAGTGGCTACATGCATTGTAAAGGTCAGACTCAAAGCTTTCAAATGACACCTATTTTGTGTTGATCAGTGCAGTGATTTTGAAAAATTACACTCCGGTTTAGAGGAACTAGGCAGCACTGGTTAGGAGTTGATCAAAATGGTTGGATGCATTGGAAAACTGAATTTCTGAGATTTAAAATGATACCTAATTATTTAAAAAAAAAAAGTACACAAAATACACAGAAATATTCTAGGTTTTACATTCTGCTTGCCAAGTGTTCAATGGAGCTCTCCAACTGATTTCTTCAATTCATGGGTTTAGGTATTATTTACACACGAAAGACGCAATGGATTGTTTTGATTTTGGACTCATTTCAATCGTGAGAATCTGCTGTAAATAATGATATGCCATTTTTCACGATCGAAGCATGTTTCAAGAAGTTCCAAATAAAAGCGCAAAGTGAAAGTACAGTTGTTTATTCTGCTGCGCCTGTCTGGTTTCATGTGTTACAGCTCTATGAATGAAATCTTTCGATCTGATCGGCGGATTATGGTAAATTTGGGCTCTTTTTAATCAGAAGAATTTTCTGTGCGGTTTTTCAAGATCTTTGCATGTTTCGTGAAGTTACGAGCTAAAACTGCACAGGACTGCAACCTCTGATTTTTTTGCTAAGCTACATGACCTAATTCTGTTTTATGTGTTGTAGCTCTATGAGTGATATCTTTAGATCTGAATGATGGATTATGGTGAGTTTGGGCTCTTTTTAATCGGGAGAATTTTCTGCAAATAATGACTTGCCATTTTCTATGATATATGCATGTTTTATGAAGTTACAAACGAAAATGCTACATGACAGCTACCTTAGATTTTTTTGCTAAGCTACATGCCGCCTGCGCAGTTTTATGTGCGTTATAAATTCTTGAGGAATATCTTTAGATATAAATGACGGATTATATGATTTTGAGCTCTTTTTAATCAGGAGAATCTGTTATTAAAAAAAAAAAATTTTCCACGATCTGAGCATGTTTTATGAAGTTACAAGTAAAATGGTGACATCAATATATTATTTTCATATGGGTCTTGGGGTGACTTCTTGTACAAAAACTTGTTCCAGTTTATTCAAAGCCCCAAACAATTATGCTTGTTTTATTCTACTCGATGAGACCTTTCAAATGACATATGACACATGACTATCTGAGCTGTATGATGTTTTTGACAGAGTAAATGGCATATTTTGTAAATTATTAATTTTTTGTTGTTGCCATTTATCAGCAAATAACTCGGCACTGCTTTGGAGTTAATCAAAGCGGCTACATGCATTGTAAAGCTCAGACTCTAAGCTTTCAAATGATATTTTTTGTTGATCAAGGCAGTGGTTTGAAAAATATGATTAGTAATATTTTTGCGGAGGGGGGGCGTCCCGCCCGTGGTACACTCCGGTTCAGAGGGACTGCTCAACGCTTGTTAAGAGTTGATTCGAAGCTTTAAAATGATACCTATTTTGTGTTATTCCATTCAGAGGTTGCTTAGTAATTTGATTATTAATTTTTTCATGCGGGAGGTGTCCCCCCTCGGGCTTAAAGGGTAAATCCTTTAGCAGATATAGGCCAATATGTTTATTGGTGTGTCTATATCTTGTAACCATTTGATACAAACTTCATGAAAATTAAAACATGGACAACAGAACATTCTGAGGAAACTTTCCAAATTTCATGAATTTTCAATGCAAGAGAGCGCTATAACTTAACACTAACCTAATAGTGCAACTGTGATCGAACAAGTTGAGATCTGACCCAAAGAAAGGTGTACCCACAGCATCCACAGGACAGATTGTAAAGAAATTCACTATTTTGCTTAGGGTTTCCAAATGTGCATGGACCAAGTGGCAACCTTACGGTCTCTCTCTTGAAACCAACACGGAAGTGACTTAAACTGCAACTCATCGACTGGCCGCTAGAGGCTGGCTCCAAAAGGGAGTCAGTCCCATAGACTCCCCATGTTAAAATGCCCAATTTTACAGCAGAACATTTTTTTTACAGCCTGGTACAAAAAGTGGTTTTGGTCTAAATAGTTAATTTTGCCCTTCATGACAACTGTGAGGGGGGTGATTTTTTTATAACTTATCCTTTTAAATTATATTAAGCCTTAAAGGGGTCATATGATGCTTTTTTAAAGATCATTATTTTGTGTATTTGGTGTAACAGAATATGTTGACATGCTTTAATGTTCAAAAAACACATTATTTTAAAAATACTGTACATTATTGTAAGTCCTCTATGCCCCGCCTCTCTCAAACGCTTCGTTTTCTACAAAGTCCCTCCTTCCGACAAGCGCAGTCTGCTCTGATAGGCCAGCTGACCCAGTACATTGTGATTGGCCGAACACCACAAGCACGCGTCGGAAATGTAACGCCCCTTACCATAATCACGAGCTTCATCTTTCAAAATAAATATAAAGACAGAGCCCGAAAGGGGAACAGAGTCTCGTGACAGAGACAGTGATGAATATGTGTTTGCAGTACACAAGCCACGGTTAAGACAGCTGACTCC